TCTTATTGCAAATATGTTTAAACTCTGTTTATTCTTTAGCTCCAGTTTTGGTCGCAGTGATCGACAGAAAGAGTTGTGTATGGTTACTAATAGCTCTAAAGTTACTAAACAATTAGAAAATAATAGGATTTTCAAAAAAAAAAAAAAAAGCATATAAAATTCTTGATAGTTTTCTTACTTGGCAATGTAACAAAAAAACTACAAATCTAATAAGCTTTACACAAGAAAAGATAGTTCTTTAGTTTTAAATTATAAAAATTTTTGAATATTAGATCTGCATTTGAAATCTATCATATGACTAAAACTTATAGCATTTTTTCATATATACATATACCATGAAAAAGAGAATAATTAATTAGAAAATAAAAATTCTAACGTTGTCACTATGTAAAGACACCTTTAATTAAATATTTTGCGTTTATAGAATAAATATTATGGAAGGAATGGAATGGCAAAAGATGGCAACTTCTCTATAGTTTTTACTATTGCGTGCAGATCTTAAAATTTTAATTATCCATGATTTTCACTTGTTTGTAATTAGATATGCATTTGACACCCTAATCAACGATCAATTGCCATACACCAGTGATCGATTCGAGACAAAAAACTGCTCCGATACTTTCGTGTCGGGCAGCTAATATATATTTCACACATCGTGCGACTCGCAAGATACTTATAAAGATCTTTCCACAAACATCGTATTTTAACATATTTCAGTATTTAACACCGTATAAACTCGAAATAATGCCTATAGGCGTTATTTTGAAAACCGAGTCCTTCAAAAAGGCTTACATGGTCTTAAATTAGTGCCTATGGACGTTCCAAATTAACGCGTATTTATAGTTGTTAAGCGAAACCTAGAAGTTTCGCGTTGACAAAAGTCAATACTCTAGTTTCAACTTTCGTCAAAAAAAAATTTCAAAAGACGAAATGGCGAAACTAGTGAAACTAAAAATTGACGAAGCCAATGAAACTGAAAGTTGTAAAAACTAGTAAATGAAAGCTAAAATAAAACTTACCGAGCCAAAATAAAAAATATATTAATTTATTTACTTTATAAATTTAATTGTTTCTTTCTATACCAAACTCTTACATTCAGAATTAGAGGCCTATGCTCCTCGCCTCTCGAAAATATACTTAGGCTGCTCTCAAGCATTACAATTGATGCTTTAGCATACTTTTTCTATTTTTCGCAGTGTTCGGTGTACTACTTAAAAAATCTAATGAAAAATTTTCTTTTCGATCAACCGTTTTAGTTACGTCGGCTCCTCATTTTAATGATTTTAAATTTCTTTATTATCTGTCAAATATGGAAAAACATCTACCTAAACCTTTCAGTTTTAGGTCTTTTTTACTTAGAAGATTTTAAATTTAAATGAGTGAAAATGGAGGGTCCGTATCACTTCGTAGAAGTTTATTTCGCAGACACCTTGTTTCACAGACAATCAATTCATAGACAAGTTTAATTCAGAAGTTATTTGCTATTAAAGATTGTCTGCAAAATGAAATGTCTATGAAATGAACTGTCTATGAAATGAACTATCTGTAAATTAATTGTCTTTAAAATAGTGTTAAAGATTGTCTACAAAATGAAATGTCTATGAAATGAACTGTCTATGAAATGAACTGCCTGTAAATTAATTGTCTTTAAAATAAACTTGTCTATGAATTGATTGTTTGTGAAACAAGGGGTCTGTGAAATAAATTTCTACGAAGTGATACGGACCCATCATCGAGGATGTTAAAATTAAAAACAACTATGGGTATTCTGTCCCTTCCGCTCTCATGATACACCTACTAACGGTGCAGAGTTTGAGAGTATCAAATGGACAACCTACGCGTGATGCTACTGATCACCATGATTTGTCTGGGAAAAACAAAAACTAGGCTAGAGCTATGTATAATATTCAAATACGACAAAATTCCTTCGTGATGTCGTCCCGATAGGACACTTCCCCTTCAGAGACCCAGTTTATGATCGTCGTCTGACGGGCCATAATTTCTCTAAAACAAATAATCAATGACTACCGCCCCGACATGTCATCAATGATAGCTTCTAAGCAGACTGACAAATCTATTGCTAGAGTGGGACGAGAAAGCCGACAAAGTCGGGTTAGCAGAAAAAAAAGCATAAATTACATTATCTGGGAAAAACTCGTTTCTTAAATGCTACTAACGATTACTAAAATACTAGTCATTACGAAATCATACGATAAATCACGAATAAAATCACGACAATGCAACCGATCAATTAATATACACCAGTGATCGATTCGAGACAAATACTTTCGTATCGGACAGCTAATTAAGTTACACAGATGGGTATGCGTTATTTCGGGACGCGCATGGGCGATATTATGAGTAATTTAACTAATTTTTTGAAAAGGCAAATTTTAAATTAACGCCCCAGCCCGCTGTTACGCGCAAATACGTAGCTAATTATAATTATAATTATAATTATATACTATATATTTATTTTATTTAAATATGTACTGTATAGCCATCAAAATTTTATTATCTAATATATCTAAATAGGTATGTACAGTATGTGATGTAATACGCGTGATTTTTGTTTTTTTTTTGTTTATTATCATATGTAAAAAAAATTGCATCACACTGGTCTCTATGGTCAGTGATGTATGACGTACGGTAACATCTATTGCAGGGTTAACACCTATAATTATTGTCGTGGCTAAAGCTGAAAATGATGAAAATGACTAAAGCTAAAAATTTCTGCTTTTTTTTTTTTTAATATATAGTTAGGTTAGAATTTAGAATAAAGGAGTATAAGTGGATTTTAGTAGAGTTTATACTTTAAATAGAGGTTTCTAATTTTAGCTTCGGCCGTTCCACTTCAGCCACGACAATTAATTAAGATAAATAAAGTCTAAACATTTATACTATTTTAATATTCTAGCATATTATTGTTAAAACAATACTTATATAATCAATTGTGTATTAAAATTATATCAACTACAAATATTGAAAATATATAGAATATCGGGTTTAGACTCTAGATGTATATAAAAATTTCTATTAAAAAGAGAAATTCATATTTGGTATTCAGTAATATGCGCCACAACTAATAATCAGACTATGTCCCGTAATTCATCAGTGAATATTAATGGATCTATGGATATATGTCCATTAATTTATAATAATAAAATCAGACTTCGATTATATAAATTTATATGATCAAGGTTGGTTTCTGATATGTAATATATAACATATGTCGTGCCTCAGATCAATTCTTGCGTCAGATTAAAACCGGCCTAAGTTAGATTAGGGTTAGGGTAAGAATCTGGGAAGGATTTGGGCTTAATTTAAGTCAATCAATATCGATCAGTTAATGCGAGCCAAAAAGTTGACATCTGACGCAAGCATTAATCTGAGGCACAACATATATATCTAATAATTAGATCTAGCATAATTCAATTTATACCTGTATATAGAAATGTTAATTAGTTAATTCAAAAATAGAACTGAGCAGTTTAAAGTTCTGTCCGGACCAAGTTCTCAAAGTTCAGTTTTTAATATTAGTCCAACTCAAGATAAACCAAACTAGTTCACGTCTAAACTGGTATGAAATGAGTTCAGTTGAGCTACTTAATATCTCTAATGTATAACTCTATTTAATATAATTCAATGAATATCTTCATTGATTAATTTTATCCGATCATAATCTTTTGACAACTAACTTCAAAGAATTCAAATAATAATTGATCAATATGAGCTGTTGAATATGCGAGTGATCTAGATCCGAAATTTTGCGCGGAGAAATCTGAAATTAAATTTCGTGGAATTAGGGTTCATTAAAATTTAATCCCAGATTTTATTTAATCTCAGATTTCTCAGCGTAAAATGCTGGAGCACCAAATAGTAATGTAGAAATATTTTCTTACAAAAATTGATTTCCTTCGTGATAACAGTAACGATCTGAGATCTATTGTGCGATTTACAGTATCTATCTGCACTGATGTCTTTGAATCGGGACATCATGCTGATTTAAAACCTTGAAATATTAATATACGTATGATAATAAAATATAAAATCAACAAGGATGACTTATGCGACGTATTTATGATGAACTCTGGGCGAATCAATTCGATCATATTACGCCAAAAGTGATGACGATTTGATGTGAAATATGCCATAAATTTCTTATATATTGATTTGTTTACTTACAAACTTTAGTTAGCGTTATAAAGCAAGCAAGCTTTAAATATTCTTATAATTGAAATTCTTTATTTATCATGAAATTCGTTCGCAAGAAACCTTCCGTTTCTTACTACTCTGTTGATGTTTCTTGGTGCTTATTAGATGTTACTAAACCAGCGTCGCTGGTTGCTTGCTGCGCAACAAGGCAAGGATCGTTGATCGTTCAAAATTATCTGAAAAGGTTCGGCAATTGTAGCTATATCTTGGAACAAGTATCTTCGAGCTTTTGTGACATGATGAAAGGTTATATGAACTTCTTTTATTACATATTTTACATTATATATATTGTATATACTTTTTTTATTTTTATTTTATTTTTTATTTTTTTTATCTTACACTGATGCAATTTTTAGATCCTTATGCGAACCATGTTTGCCAATGTTTGATAACTCTTTGTAACGAATCTCAACGAGATTTTATACTTAATTTGATTGGCCATAAAGTACCTCAGCTTGCGCGAGATGCGCACGGAAATTATGTATTGCAATGTTTAATAAAAAATATTACGACCAAGAGTCAGGTAAGAAAATAAAAAAAAAAAAACTTGAGTTTGAAATGATAACTATATCGTGTGTACAATTTGACATTCCTTTTTTGTATTCAGGCAATCCGCCTTATTTCTTTTCTTGCAAAGGACGTCAAAAGTCTTATTATGGATAGTTATGGTTTGTTCAAGATTCCCATTTTTCTTAACGCTAAGCAAATTACAAGATTAAAAATTTTATTATTTGCATAAATTAAGGCAATTTTGTTCTTCAGAAGACTATTGAATTTTGGCCAACCGAATTAACACAAGTATGATTATGATTGTTCATCTTTCGATTTAGTGGCTTTGATTAATTGGTTTCGATTAATTGACTTCAATTAATTTGTTTCAATTAATGGTCAATCTTGATAATAATTCAACTTTTATTAGTTCATATATCATGGAGTTTGCGAAAATATTCTTGATGTAGCTTGCGATTCTCATGGCTGTTTTGTCGTAAAGAAATGTTTTGAATACGGCACCTATCTCCAAAAAAGCCTTGTGCAATCGGCGATTGTGGCAAATACATTAATTTTAAGCCAGGTAACATTAAAATTTTTTTATCATTTATAAAGTGCATAGTTTTTACATGATTTTCTATCACTATTATCATTAGAACTTCACCGGTCGCATCATTTTACAATACGTTCTTAATGTTGGAGAACCTCTTTATTTCGAAGCAATTAAAAAACAATTACAAGGAACGCGGTTTGAAATTTTTTTTAAAGAACCGGATTACCATATTCAAAAAAGTCGTTGAAAGCTTGCAGCTAGGCAAGGATTTTTCTCTTTTAATCTTGCTTGTCAGTTATTATGTTTAGTTTTAGATTTTGAATCGATTGAATGAATATATTTTCGTTCTTTCTCTCTTTATTCCCCCCTTTTTTTTTGCTTTTTTATTTTTATTATTGAATAAGGAACTAGATGATAAATATGTTCAAGTAAAGTGTTTTTGACTTTATAAAACTTTTGCTTTTTTATATAAAATACACCATTTACTTTTACCTAGATTATCAGTTTTTTTATATGTTTGTATCTGATGCTTTGTTTTATGAAATCTTATTGTTCAAAATTATCGAAATTTATAAAATTATAAAATGCTTTCAATTTTTTTTTTTTTTAAGCATTTTATGGTCGAAAATATTGACAATATTTCGCACTGTCGTGGAGAAATGAGAAAGAGTTATACTGTATTAAATAGTTTATTATGAGGGTTTTTTACATTTAAAGTTGTAAGTCAATATTCCATAGAATCCTCTTTTGCTATAGTATCATGCAAGCATAAACGCGAAACGGCATCATTAACTTTATACGCCGTACATATTTGATTAAACGATCAGGCTCTACTAAATCTGCAGCTTGTTATTATACCCGTAAATATAATTATGTATTTTACAATCCGGTATAGAAAATTAAATGGATTATTTAAATATAAAGGGAATTTACAATAAGGGCCCGGAAAGTGAAGATAATTACAAATACGGGCCCATATTACATATAAGGGCCTAATTTTTAAAAAATATTACATATAAGGGCCCAAAATAACCGCAACGTTGTTCACGCCTGTGGATTGATCGCTAATAATTCAGAAACATAAGCATCGCATAAAAATGTAATGATCGATTGTAAATTAGTAATTATAAATAAGAAAATTTTTTAAATTTAATTTCTTTGTACGAACGAAATTGCTTATTGTTATAATAAACTACTATGATGTCAAGTAAAACATTGCGAATTGGTATGGTATGACATTTACTAATATAGATGTTTAAAGAGCTACTCTGTTGAAACTTCGGCTTATGAATAATTGTGCGAAAATGATTATAATTAGCACTTCATTTATCCTTTTACCTTATAATCAGTATATAGATAACTCTAAATGTCTTTAATAAAACTATTGATAATACTATAAGCCTGTGAACCGTTTTTTCCAACCATCAATAGATTTGGGCCCTTATATATAATATTTTTTAAAAATTAGGCCCTTATATGTAATTATTTTTAATGTGGGTCCGTATTTGTAATTATTTTCACTTTCCGGGCCCTTATTTGTAAATTCCCCAAAATTTTATGTTCGCAAGTTGTTCCAAAATAGATTCTCAAAAATATTTTAATGTTCTTGGAACACTAGGAACATTAAATATTTAACACTGCTCCCGAGATGCAAGATCAAACTCCAGTCAAAATACTGCGCAACCTCATAAATAAAAATTTTCTAAATACACGCATTTAGAAAATTCAATGCAAAACCTCGTGAGCGCCTCAACTTAGTCAAACTTCATGATGATCTCATGATTTCTCAGAATAATTTTATTTATCTATGAATCAAATAGTCTAGATGTAAAATAGATTCAGATAGCAATATTATATATATTATGCCTCGTAAAATAAAAACTTTTAAAATATTAATTTATATTACATAAAACTTTAAATCATTTATTAATTTATATTACATTACTATGTATTTTGACAAATAATAATAGAACTTATAAGATTAATTGAAAAGAAACAGTCAACTATACACCATTAACTATACTGAACCTAATACGGTAATAGTTTCGGAACAAAAAAAGAGCATCGGTTTACATATATGAGATATAGAAGTCATATAATTGCATGTGCCTTTCAGATTAATGGTCTTTGCGGTTATTTACAAGACCACATGATCATTTCATGTTATAAGATTAACAATTGATATCGATAACTCGTTATCATATTCTTGCATATACTTCATGAAAAGAAAAACCGACCTTTTAACGATAAAATGGGTTAGTTATATTTAGGACTTTCATTCAATCTAGCCGGAATGTTTTAAAAAGAGAAACAAAAATTTATTACTCGTTGTGACAAAATTTCATTAATACTCTTCGTAAAATTTCGATATGCCATTTTTTCCTGAGGACTACTCCGTTTCCATAATTGTTCAGTCACATTATTAATCACAAGAAAATCATTTTCAGACATCCTGCTCGCTTCTTGCCTAACAATCAATTTAAATACGTTAAATGCACTTAAAGGTCGTCGTCCTTTATAATAATAAAAAAGTCCTTTATGGCGACATAGTAACTCTGAAGTGATATTTTCATCAAGTTGTGGTGGTGGGTGAATATTTTGTGGCCGATGGTTTGCAATAAATGCATCGACTTTTTGTTGAAGATCAGAACGTTGACATTGGCGTGCCATTTCTAAATATCTTGAATACAGAATTTTCGAAAAACTGAAAAAGTACGAAAAAAGACGGATATTGTACATTTATTTAACTCATTTATAAAGTCCTTGTCATGACGTAACACACTCAGGATCTAGTTCTCTTTACACGTGCTGTTTATCAATGTAAAATATCATGTTAATCATATTTATCGTGCCATTTAAAACACTAAACCATTATTGTAGGTTCTCAACGGATGCATATCGGATATATATATTACGGAAATCCACTGGAACACTGGTCGAATGGAATCCTGGCGTATGATCAAAATATTTACATATTAAGCTGCTACGTACACATTATGAGTTTGTCAGCTGAATATTTTCGTTTATTTTTATAGAAATTTGAATTAGTTCTAGACATCGTACAAGTTCGGATTATCCCATTAGGAAGAATGTACGTACGGAAATTATAGAATTACAGGAATTATTCTATTTATATAGATCTACGTTCCCTTTAAACTGAATGATTTTAAAGTTAACATATCATATCCAAAAATGGAATTTCCTCAATTGGTATTTTAAGTAATTTAAAAAATTATCTCCAGAATGGGTAATTTTCTTAGAGCAAATTAAAATTCCTAAGCGGATTCTGCATAATTTAAAAGAACAATAACATTTTGAAAAATGTCTTCTAGAACTATTTCACCATTTAGAGCCATGCTGTTTTGAAGGGTACTTGTACAAAAAATTCGGACCTCCCATGATAAGCATTAATTAAAGGATAATGTTTATTCCTATGACAAAAAGTTATATAAATATGTAGTGTTACGATCCATAACGGCAAAAAAAAAAAGTATGTGAGTACACAGAGATAAAAGAAACCTTGGAATGAAACAATAAAAGAACTATGAACTTAAAAAAAACGTGCACAAATGAGAGAATATGTATATTCCGTATCTCTCCCCGAAAATCACTTTATAAACACCTTATTTCACTAATAGACAAGTTTATTTCATAGATAGCTTATTTCACTGACAGCTTATCTAATAGATCTTTTTTCATCGATGACTCATTTCACAGTTAAGTTTTTTATATATTGCAATAACTTATACATTACATTACAATTTCTACTTGGATTTGGCATACGGCATTTAATAAGGCTAAAAATTTGTGCCGCAACTAATAATCAATACCTCAATGTCAAAATTAATACCATAAGTATGCATATGAGAAAACCTATCATCTGACTTTCAATTATATTTTGACTGGACACAATTTATTGGGAATACAGTATGTCCGATACAAAATATAATTGAAAGCCCGATGACAAGTTTTCCCTTGGCAGAACTGATATCATAAAAATTACTAAATTACTTCAGGCTTTGCTAAAAGTATTTTGGAATTGATTTTTGATATGAAATTGTTGAAGTACCTCAGAAATTTATATACCTAAATTGCGGCTATTGAGGGGTTTAAAACGGCACCTGATTCGGATAAAATAAGTGACGTATTTATTTAAATTGAGCAATCTTTCGTTTTAAAAGTTCATATTTATATGCTCTATTTTAGCTTTCTGATTTCCGAATTTCAAAATATCATAAGATTTTTCAAA